TACACGGGGGGGCTGATCTGGCGGGTAATTAAAATCAAAAGCACAACCTATTGTAATCTGATCACATGACTGTATCCAACCATTCCCCTCCGTGTTGTCCGGCGCCCTGCCTGCATTTTTACCGCCCTTTCTGCTTGGAAACTGAGACACGCCCATGGCGTCCAAGAAGCGTCCCTTTAGGTCAGACGCGGTTTTAGAGCGGCTAGAGAACAGCGATAGTAAATCAGAACCACTTGCAGAATTGAGTGATAATGATTGGTGGGGGAAATTCCTCATCAGACACTGAAATCTCCATGGAAACAATGTATTCACATAATCAGACCGCCAGGGGGGTCAGAGAGCTGGACACGCAAACCTGGAAGGAATACGGGGTGATGAGTGTTCCCCCCCCCCCCCCCCCCGAGAGCTCCCCCCTGCTGTGATGTGTGTCCCGTCCCCCCCCCCCCGAGCTCCCCCCCCTGGTGTGATGTGTCCCCCCCGAGCTCCCCCCCCCCCCCCGAGCTCCCCCCTGGTGTGATGTGTCCCCCCCCCCCGAGCTCCCCCCTGGTGTGATGTGTCCCCCCCCCCCCCCCCGAGCTCCCCCTGGTGTGATGTGTGTCCCCCCCCCCCCCCCCCCCCCGAGCTCCCCCCTGGTGTGATGTGTGTCCCCCCCCCCCGAGCTCCCCCCTGGTGTGATGTGTGTCCCCCCCCCCCCCCGAGCTCCCCCCTGGTGTGATGTGTGTCCCGTCCCCCCCCCCCGAGCTCCCCCCTGGTGTGATGTGTGTCCCGTCCCCCCCCCCCCCCCGAGCTCCCCCCTGGTGTGATGTGTGTCCCGTCCCCCCCCCCCGAGCTCCCCCCTGGTGTGATGTGTGTCCCCCCCCCCCCCCCCCCCCCCCCCCCGAGCTCCCCCCTGGTGTGATGTGTGTCCCCCCCCCGATCTCCCCCCTGCTGTGATGTGTGCCCCCCCCCCGATCTCCCCCCTGCTGTGATGTGTGCCCCCCCCCGAGCTCCCCCCTGCTGTGATGTGTGCCCCCCCCCCCGATCTCCCCCCTGCTGTGATGCCCCCCCCCCCCGAGCTCCCCCCTGGTGTGATGTGTCCCCCCCCCCCCCCCCCCTGCTGTGATGTGTCCACCCCCCCCCCCCCCCCCCCCCCCGATCTCCCCCCTGCTGTGATGCCCCCCCCCCCCCCGAGCTCCCCCCTGGTGTGATGTGTGCCCCCCCCCCCCCCCCCGATCTCCCCCCTGCTGTGATGTGTCCCCCCCCCCCCCCCGATCTCCCCCCTGCTGTGATGTGTGTCCCCCCCCGATCTCCCCCCTGCTGTGATGCCCCCCCCCCCCCGATCTCCCCCCTGCTGTGATGTGTGTCCCCCCCCCCCCCTGGTGATGCGGAGTGTCCCTCATTGGCTCTGGTGATTCGTGTGCAGTAGTGGAGTCTGGCAGAGATCAGGCCACGCTCTGTGTGGTTGGTGTCGTTGCTGCGCTCAGCACACAGGATGTGGTCTCTCCTCTCTCTGTAGGTTGCTTTCAGTTCTAACTGTTTGGGGTTTGTTGTGAATCGAGTTTAGTCACCATGTGACGTCAGGGAGCCCTGTGATTGGATATCAGGCTGGAGACACGTTCATTCCCCTACAGGGGAGCACCTTGGCTGTAGTCTTGGGGGGGGGGGAGTTGGCTGTGTGTGTCCCTGGACACCTCCCTGTCCTCTGGGTATATCTCAGGTGGGGGGTCAGCATTCCTGTCTGTGGGGCCTGTGACCACCAATCCTATTCAGTGGTAGTGTAGCTGGAGGTGATGGAAGAGCCCTGCAGAATCATACATTGGCCCATCTCATGTGATGAATAGTTTCCCCCCCCCCCCCCCCATGAATCACTGGACAGTGTTCTAGAAGAGGAACTACAACCCCCAGCACACTGACAGCATGTGACTCCAACACAACTGCTTTGTACCGCCAGACGTTTCATTTATCCTCCCCCCTCATTTACCTAAAATGTTTACTCTTCCCTGAGCTTGCCTCCAGCGTGTGTCGTCTCCTCCCCCTTGTTTGCCTCCAGCATGTGTCGTCTCCTCCCCCTTGTTTGCCTCCAGCGCGTGTCGTCTCCTCCCCCTTGTTTGCCTCCAGCATGTGTCGTCTCCTCCCCCTTGTTTGCCTCCAGCATGTGTCGTCTCCTCCCCCTTGTTTGCCTCCAGCGCGTGTCGTCTCCTCCCCCTTGTTTGCCTCCAGCGCGTGTCGTCTCCTCCCCCTTGTTTGCCTCCAGCATGTGTCGTCTCCTCCCCCTTGTTTGCCTCCAGCATGTGTCGTCTCCTCCCCCTTGTTTGCCTCCAGCATGTGTCGTCTCCTCCCCCTTGTTTGCCTCCAGCATGTGTCGTCTCCTCCCCCTTGTTTGCCTCCAGCGCGCGTCGTCTCCTCCCCCTTGTTTGCCTCCAGCGCGCGTCGTCTCCTCCCCCTTGTTTGCCGCCAGCGCGCGTCGTCTCCTCCCCCTTGTTTGCCTCCAGCGCGCGTCGTCTCCTCCCCCTTGTTTGCCTCCAGCGCGCGTCGTCTCCTCCCCCTTGTTTGCCTCCAGCGCGCGTCGTCTCCTCCCCCTTGTTTGCCTCCAGCGCGCGTCGTCTCCTCCCCCTTGTTTGCCTCCAGCGCGCGTCGTCTCCTCCCCCTTGTTTGCCTCCAGCGCGCGTCGCGTCTCCTCCCCCTTGTTTGCCTCCAGCGCGCGTCGCGTCTCCTCCCCCTTGTTTGCCTCCAGCGCGCGTCGCGTCTCCTCCCCCTTGTTTGCCTCCAGCGCGCGTCGCGTCTCCTCCCCCTTGTTTGCCTCCAGCGCGCGTCGCGTCTCCTCCCCCCCTTGTTTGCCTCCAGCGCGCGTCGCGTCTCCTCCCCCTTGTTTGCCTCCAGCGCGCGTCGCGTCTCCTCCCCCTTGTTTGCCTCCAGCGCGCGTCGCGTCTCCTCCCCCTTGTTTGCCTCCAGCGCGCGTCGCGTCTCCTCCCCCTTGTTTGCCTCCAGCGCGCGTCGCGTCTCCCTCCCCCTTGTTTGCCTCCAGCGCGCGTCGCGTCTCCTCCCCCTTGTTTGCCTCCAGCGCGTCGCGTCGTCTCCTCCCCCTTGTTTGCCTCCAGCGCGCGTCGCGTCGTCTCCTCCCCCCTTGTTTGCCTCCAGCGCGCGTCGCGTCTCCTCCCCCTTGTTTGCCTCCAGCGCGCGTCGCGTCTCCTCCCCCTTGTTTGCCTCCAGCGCGCGTCGCGTCTCCTCCCCCTTGTTTGCCTCCAGCGCGCGTCGCGTCTCCTCCCCCTTGTTTGCCTCCAGCGCGCGTCGCGTCTCCTCCCCCTTGTTTGCCTCCAGCGCGCGTCGCGTCTCCCTCCCCCTTGTTTGCCTCCAGCGCGCGTCGTCTCCTCCCCCTTGTTTGCCTCCAGCGCGCGTCGCGTCTCCTCCCCCTTGTTTGCCGCCAGCGCGCGTCGTCTCCTCCCCCTAACCATACTTTCCCGATAAATCTGACTGTTTAGGTGGATGTGTTGAAGAATAGACGTGTATGGGTTTGTCACTCTCGGGATCGGCCAATAACTGATCTCCTGAGCCCACTCTGCTGAGGTTGGATTGGCTGCCATATTTGATTCTGCATGTATAGTGGGAGTGTCCTGGTCCTGCCAGTTATACGTCCTTCTCATGCAGAGTTTATAACTCCTCCCTGTAGGAGGCGGCCAGTGTTCTGGGACGCGGCCTCTCACCATGACAGTAATTACAATGACTTCTATCTGTGACGTCACTACAGGCAGCCCTGAGATCTGCTCTCTGTAGTCCCGTGTGTGTCACTGCGCTCCTGTGCAGTGTTCATTCCAAATGTCATGTGTCAGGCTCTCCCTCATTCCCCCCCACCCCTCTCCTGTGCCCGGGGGGCTCCTCCTCCTGCATCTTGTGCCCGTCACGGCGCCCCCACCCTGTGCCCTGCGTATGGGGCCCCCGCCCTGTGCCCTGCGTATGGGGCCCTGTGCCCTGCGTATGGGGCCCTGTGCCCTGCGTATGGGGCCCCCGCCCCGCGCTCTGCGTATGGGGCCCCCGCCCTGCGCTCTGCGTATGGGGCCCCGTCCTGTGCCCTGCACGGCTCTCTCCAGGTCGGTTGCTATCTATGATCTAATCAGACATTCCTGGCATTCTGTGACGGTCTGGCAGGCAGAGGGTTAATGGTGCCCCCCCCCCCCCCCCCCCCCCCCCCCCCCCCCCCCCCCCCCGGCTCGTTTGATCAGGTCTGAGTGTTTACAAGAGAGCAGCAATCAAATACCGATTACAGAGAATGTTTTCTGTCTGAAGTCAGATCACAGAAATAGTTGGTGGTGGGAAGACGTGTGCGATGTCTGTGCTGATCTCCCCAGCGTGGGGCTCACACGTGATGTCGCCAATCATCTCCCCAGCGTGGGGCTCACACGTGACGTCACCAATCATCTCCCCAGCGTGGGGCTCACACGTGACGTCACCAATCATCTCCCCACCGCCGGGCGCTGACCCGCCCGTCCTGTGCCGGGCGCTGACCCGCCCGTCCTGTGCCGGGCGCTGACCCGCCCGTCCTGTGCCGGGCGCTGACCCGCCCGTCCTGTGCCGGGCGCTGACCCGCCCGTCCTGTGCCTGGCGCTGACCCGCCCGTCCTGTGCCTGGCGCTGACCCCGCCCTGTCCTGTGCCGGGCGCTGACCCGCCCGTCCTGTGCCGGGCGCTGACCCGCCCGTCCTGTGCCGGGCGCTGACCCGCCCGTCCTGTGCCGGGCGCTGACCCGCCCGTCCTGTGCCGGGCGCTGACCCGCCCGTCCTGTGCCGGGCGCTGACCCTCCTGTGCCGGGCGCTGACCCCGCCCGTCCTGTGCCGGGCGCTGACCCGCCCGTCCTGTGCCGGGCGCTGACCCGCCCGTCCTGTGCTGACCCGCCCGTCCTGTGCCGGGCGCTGACCCGCCCGTCCTGTGCCGACCCGCCCGTCCTGTGCCGGGCTCTGACCCGCCCGTGTGCCGGGCTCTGACCCGCCCGTCCTGTGCCGCGTACTGACCCCTCCTTCTGTCTTTTCAGGTATCAGAGTGCTGGTGGACGCCCGCGAGAAGCTGCACATTCCCTGGGGGGACCCGTCCAATCAGAAGCACGGTGAGGTGATGATGGCGTTTGACACGCGCTCAGCCATGGTGGTTCAGGGAATGGTGGAGACGCATATCTTCCTCACACACTTGGCGTCTATAAAGGCATTATGGACAGATAGCGGCGTTCAGCACGCCTACGACCGGCGCCGGGAGTTCCAGCTGGTAAGAGGTCCACCTCTGTACTGAACCACTAATCCTGGTGTATTGGTTGTGATCACGTGTCTCCCGTGTTGTGTGCGTGTGCATGCGTATGTGTGCGTGTCGCTGACACTTCACGCGTATAACTTGCCGCTGAACCCCCAGCAGTACAATCAGTCTGTAGTTGCAGCAAAGCATGCTGGTTATACTCCGTGTGGAACCTAAGGGGTTAATCCTCAGCATTGTGCAAAAAGGCTGTTTGATCTTGACTTCTCTGATCCTCCTCTACGTTTCCCCAATCCATCTGCTGATAGTAGAGAGCCTTAGGAGACACTCTGCACATGCTCAGTTTAGTGTGTATTGCCAGATCTTTTTTTTTTTTTTTGGTCTTGGGAGGGTGTATGTGATCAGCACAGAGCCAATCGGCACTGTCCAGACAGAGGTCAGGGGTTCTGCGTCCTTTTAGAGCAGAATGAAGCTTTAACCAGTGCTGCATCCAGGGAGAGCGGATATAGGGAATGCGGGGTCCGGGGAGAGCGGATACAGTAGTGGGGAGAACAGTGAATGCGGGGTCCGGGGAGAGCGGATATAGTGAATGGGGGTCCGGGGAGAGCGGATATAGGGAATGCGGGGTCCGGGGAGAGCGGATATAGTGAATGGGGGGTCCGGGGAGAGAGGATATAGGAATGCGGGGGGGAGAGCCGGGGAGAGCGGATATAGCGGGGGTCCGGGGTGTTGAGCGGATGCGGGGGTCCGGGGAGAGCGGATATAGTGAATGCGGGGTCCGTCAGCGGGATATAGTGAACGTGAAGCGGATGCGGGGTCCGGGGAGAGGGGATATAGTGAATGCGGGGTCCGGGGGAGAGCGGATACAGTGAACGCGGGGTCCGGGGAGAGCGGATATAGTGAATGCGGGGTCCGGGGAGAGCGGATACAGTGAGCCGGGGATACAGCGAATGCGGGGTCCGGGGAGAGCGGATACAGTGAATGCGGGGTCAGGGGAGCGGATAGTGAATGAACGGGGTCCGGGGAGAGCGGATATAGTGAACGCGGGGTCCGGGGAGAGGGGATATAGTGAATGCGGGGTCCGGGGGGAGCGGATATAGTGAATGCGGGGTCCGGGGGAGAGCGGATATAGTGAATGCGGGGTCCGGGGGGAGCGGATATAGGGAATGCAGGGTCCGGGGGGAGCGGATATAGTGAATGCGGGGTCCGGGGGGAGAGCGATATAGTGAATGCGGGGTCCGGGGGAGGAGAGCGGATATAGTGAACGCGGGGTCCGGGGGGGAGAGCGGATACAGTGAATGCGGGGTCCGGGGGGAGCGGATACAGTGAATGCGGGGTCCGGGGGAGAGCGGATACAGTGAATGCGGGGTCCGGGGGAGCGGATACAGTGAATGCGGGGTCCGGGGGAGCGGATACAGTGAATGCGGGGTCCGGGGAGAGCGGGATATAGTGAATGCGGGGTCCGGGGGGAGCGGATACAGTGAATGCGGGGTCCGGGGGGAGCGGATATAGTGAATGCGGGGTCCGGGGGGAGCGGATATAGTGAATGCGGGGTCCGGGGGAGCGGATATAGTGAATGCGGGGTCCGGGGGAGCGGATACAGTGAATCCGGGGGGGGGGGTGCAGAGAATGTAGTGATATGCGAATCCGGGGGGAGGTTGGGGCTGCAGGACTGGATGTAGTGAATGCCGGGTTGGTGGTGGGGGGGGGGGGGGACTGGATGGTAGTGAATGCCGGGTCGGGGGGGGCGGTGCGGGACTGCATGTAGTGAATGCTGGGGTGGTGGTGGGGGGGGGGGGGTGCGGGACTGCATGTAGTGAATGCTGGGGTGGTGGTGGGGGGGGGGTGGGGTGCGGGACTGCATGTAGTGAATGCTGGGGTGAATGGGGGGGGGGGGGTGCGGGACTGCATGTAGTGAATGCTGGGGTGGTGGTGGGGGGGGGGGGGGGTTAGGGTGCGGGACTGGATGGTGTGAATGCCTCGGGGGTCGGGATTGGTAGTGAATGCGGGGTCGGTGGGCGGGGTTGGGGTCGGGATTGCAGGCAGTTCATGCATGGGTTGTAGGACCATGGTAGTTAGGTGACCACCATTGTGACCTCTCATTGGGTGTCGGTGAAGGGGTCTGCAGACAGTTCATCCATGGGTTGTAGGACCATGGTATAGAGGTGACCACCATTGTGACCTCTCATTGGGTGTCTGCAGAGTGCTCCGGTTCAGTTGGGACCCCTATGGGGTGATGTGGGGTGATCGGGGTTACTATGGGGCAAGGCTGGGAAAGGTCCATCGATCAGCAGCTGTGGCCAGTGATCAGTGTGTCCTGACAGTCCCGCCCTCATCATACAATGACCTATCCGCAGGCAGTGACCATGTGACAACAACACACTGTCTGTTGGTGGATTGCGGTGCCTCTGGCCTGCCCAGCGATGGGCGGAGTCTCGGCTTAGTTTCCATGGGCTGGGTGGTGAGGCACATGACTCCATCTTTGTTCCTGGCGTGTCATGGCTGCATCTGTTGTCTGTGTGTCTTACCATGTCACATGTCACGTCTCAGCATACAATGGGCACACTGTCCTCTGACATGCCCATCCCCCTCTCTGAACCCGCACATTATACACAATACCTGTCATTGCCTCTAGGGGGGGCAGCCATGCAGCCCCCACCACCTCCAGGGACACGGTCCCTACAGTACAGCATCCTCTATATGGGAGGGGCCCTACTGAGAGCCAACTCCACAGATACATGGGGGGCTCTCCGGGGGAAGGGTTTATTTCTGTCCATCCAGTCCCCAGATTTATACAGCTCCGCCACACACCACAGCCTGCCTGGTACAGCAGTACATCTGAGTCTTCTCTGCAACAGTTCAGTACATTTCCAGGTCTTGTCCCTCCCCCAGGCTGTGATTGGGCAGTGAAAGGAGGAGCTGCTGACTGAGCTCCTTTTCACTCTGCTCTCTCCTCCTATCAGCACACATGCATGCTGCACAGCTGATTGGCCCCTGGTGCTGCTTCCCCTCAGCACTCAGAAGTGGGGGTTTAGTGTGTGTGTGGGGGGGGTTCCCTTTTATGTACAGGAGACACTTGCCTGGAGGATGTAGCAGTTGGTGGACGTTGTAGACTGTCTGGCTGTGATGGTGGGGGAGGGGGATTACACAACCCTCCAGGCACGTCTCCATGCGGTGTCTCCTCCTGCGGTCTCCTCCGTCCTCCCAGCTCCATAAAAGGTCGGTGAGCTGAGTGCTGTGACATCTCTATTAATAACATGGAGCGATGTTTGTGGGACGACTTTCTCCAGCACACGGCTGACTTCCTGTCTGGTGGTAGAGGAATATCAGACCCCCCCCCCCCCCCCCCCCCCCCCCCCCGGGAGTGTCCCCTGTACTGTTGGGATCCCCGGACAGCCGGCGTGCGACACTCTTCCTGGAATTGTCTGGTGGGAAGAAGTTTCCTTTCCCGTGATGAGGACAACACGCTCCCGCACGTGCGCCCCCCCCCCCCCCACTGCCCGGGTCAGGTCAGCACAGGCAGATGGTGTGTGTGGGTATGGAGTCCGTGGAGGGGGGGTTCTCTGCGCGGTATGGACTCTGTGGGTAGGGGGGGACTCCCCGCGCAGTATACAGTTCATGGAGGGGGGGGGGAGGACTCCCCGCCGAGTATGCAGTTCATGGAGGGGGGGGGGGGGACTCCCCGGAGGGGGGGGGGGGCGGTACTCCCCGCGCGAGTATGCAGTTCATGGAGGGGGGGGGGGGGGAGACTCCCCGCGTGGTATGCAGTTCATGGAGGGGGGGGGGTGGACTCCCCGCATGGTATGGTTCATGGAGTAGGCTGCAAGAGTCTCCCAGATGCCATAGAGGGGGGACTCCCGCGCGGTACAGATCTCTGGTGGGATGGTCTTGCTGTGTGGTTGCTGCCCCTCCCCCCCCCCCTCCCCCGGTCCTCCTCAAAGAGGGGACAGATGGGAGGGGTCTGTACTGTTGGTGGTCTCTGCTGGTGTTCATGGTGGGGGAGCGTCCCATCTCTGCAATGAATCGGGGATCCCACCCCGCCCTACCTGTCAGTCTCTGTAATTAGAGAGGCGGGGCGGCTGGCCGGGGGGGGCGGATGGCTAGATGGCTGGCGGGAGGGGCGGATGGCTAGATGGCTGGCCGGGAGGGGCGGATGGCTAGATGGCTGGCCGGGAGGGGCGGGGATGGCTAGATGGCTGGCCGGGGGGGGGGGATGGCTAGATACAGGCTGGCCGGGAGGGGCGGATGGCTAGATGGCTGGCCGGGAGGGCGCGGATGGCTAGATGGCTGGCCGGCGGATGGTTCTGGCCGGGGGGGGATGGCTAGTTCATGGCTGGGGGGGGATGGCTAGATGGCTGGCCGGGAGGGGCGGATGGCTAGATGGCTGGCCGGGGATGGCTATACTAGATGGCTGGCCGGGGCGGATGGCTAGATGGCTGGCCGGCGGGATGGCTAGATGGCTGGCGGGGGCGGTTGGCTAGATGGCTGGGGGACTCCGGCGGTTGGCTAGATGGCTGGCCCCCGCGGGTTGGCTATGGATGGGGGGCCGGCGGTTGGCTAGATGGCTGGCCGCGGGTATGGTTGGCTAGATGGCTGGCCGGCGGTTGGCTAGATGGCTGGCCGGCGGTTGGCTAGATGGCTGGCCGGCGGTATGGCTAGATGGGGGGGGACTCGGCGGTTGGCTAGATGGCTGGCCGGCGGTTGGCTAGATGGGGCCGGCGGTTGGCTAGATGGCTGGCCGGCGGTTGGCTAGATGGCTGGCCGGCGGTTGGCTAGATGGCTGGCCGGCGGTATGGCTAGATGGCTGGCTGGCCGGCCGGACGGCCCCGCGGATGGCTAGATGGCTCCCCGCTGGCCGGGAGGGGGATGGCTAGATGGCTGGCTGGCCGGCGGGGGATGGCTAGATGGCTGGCTGGCAAGAGCTCCCAGACGGATGGCTAGATGGCTGGCTGGCCGGCGGATGGCTAGATGGCTGGCTGGCCGGTACTGTCGGATGGGCTAAGTGGTGGAGCGTAGAT